GAAGTGAAAAATATTTGTATAGATTAATAAGGATGGTGTCAGAGAGCCAGACTTTTGAACACCATAGAAGGTTTACAATTTCTTTATCCTCTAGAAATATATCATTTGCATCATTTTCAATGAAATTAGGCCACAAAATATATACCAATCCAGGCATCCATGTTTTGTTTGTATCATCTGTCCTCAATAACACATTTTAACAGCAAAATAAAATTTTCAAAAATGCAGCTCATATTGCTTCATATTCCTTCCTTCTGACTTTAAGAGTGTTTATGCTAACATTCTCTCAATTGTTTAAATTAGTAAATATGAAAAAAAAATCTAGTCAATGAAACTATATCTATGGGTTCATCTTCCAATTTAATGGATCACCAAAATTAAATCTACAATAGTTCTCTTTAGCTGAATACACATTGTCCCTTACATGCATTTTTTAATTATTTGTTATAAGATTTAGGAAACGCATAGAAAACCTTTCTTTTAAATCTTTTAACAATTTTTCATGACGCATATCTCAGGACAATTCAAAACTCGAGATGATTGCTAATTGTGTCACATTGTAGAGGCAGTAAGATTATTGTTGATTGTGTTACATTATAGAGACATTGAAGTGATTGTTGATTGTGTTACATTATAGAGACATTAAAGTGATTGTTGATTGTGTTACATTATAGAGACATTGAAGTGATTGTTGATTGTGTTACATTATAGAGACATTGAAGTGATTGTTGATTGTCTCACGTTGTATAGAGACAGTGGGTTGATTGTTTGTTTATTGTGAAACATTGTGGAGACAGTAGATTATTGTTGATTGTGTCACATTGTAGATGAGAAGATAATTGTCGATTGTGTCACATTGTAGAGGCAGTAGATCATTGTTGATTGTGACACATTGTAAAGGCAATGGATAATTGTCGACTGTTTCACATTGTAGAGGCAGAAGATAATTGAGGTAGTGAGGCGATTGTTGAATGTGTTACATTGTAGAAGCAATGGGGTGATCCTGTCTTATTTCGTGGTTTTTGTGTAGGGAATGTATCAAATATTTTACACTTATGTTCTAGTCTTACATCAATGTATTCGAGTCTTACATCAGTGAATTCAAGTCTTACATCAGTGAATTCAAGTCTTACATCAGTGAATTCAAGTCTTACATCAGTGAATTCAAGTCTTACATCAGTGAATTCAAGTCTTACATCAGTATATTCAAGTCACGTGTATTCAAGTCTTACATCAGTGTATTCAAGTCACGTGTATTCAAGTCTTACATCAGTGTATTCAAGTCACGTGTATTCAAGTCTTACATCAGTGTATTCAAGTCACGTGTATTCAAGTCTTACATTGATGTATTCAAGTCACGTGTATTCAAGTCTTACATCAGTGTATTCAAGTCACGTGTATTCAAGTCTTACATCAGTGTATTCAAGTCACGTGTATTCAAGTCTTACATCGATGTATTCAAGTCACGTGTATTCAAGTCTTACATCAGTGTATTCAAGTCACGTGTATTCAAGTCTTACATCGATGTATTCAAGTCACGTGTATTCAAGTCTTACATCAGTGTACTCAAGTCACGTGTATTCAAGTCTTACATCAGTGTATTCAAGTCACGTGTATTCAAGTCTTACATCGGTGTGTTCAAGTCACGTGTATTCAAGTCTTACATCAGTGTATTCAAGTCACGTGTATTCAAGTCTTACGTCAGTGTATTCAAGTCACGTGTATTCAAGTCTTACATCGGTGTGTTCAAGTCACGTGTATTCCAGTCTTACATCAGTGTATTCAAGTCACGTGTATTCAAGTCTTACATCGATGTATTCAAGTCACGTGTATTCAAGTCTTACATCAGTGTACTCAAGTCACGTGTATTCAAGTCTTACATCAGTGTATTCAAGTCTTACATCAGTGTATTCAAGTCTTACATCGGTGTATTCAAGTCTTACATCAGTGTATTCAAGTCTTACATCAGTGAATTCAAGTCTTACATCAGTATATTCAAGTCACGTGTATTCAAGTCTTACATCAGTGTATTCAAGTCTTGCATCAGTGTATTCAAGTCTTACATCAGTGTATTCAAGTCACGTGTATTCAAGTCTTACATCAGTGTATTCAAGTCACGTGTATTCAAGTCTTACATCGATGTATTCAAGTTACGTGTATTCCAGTCTTACATCGATGTATTCAAGTCACGTGTATTCAAGTCTTACATCAGTGTATTCAAGTCACGTGTATTCAAGTCTTACATCAGTGTATTCAAGTCACGTGTATTCAAGTCTTACATCAGTGTATTCAAGTCACGTGTATTCAAGTCTTGCATCGGTGTGTTCAAGTCACGTGTATTCAAGTCTTACATCAGTGTGTTCAAGTCACGTGTATTCAAGTCTTACATCAGTGTATTCAAGTCACGTGTATTCAAGTCTTACATCAGTGTATTCAAGTCACGTGTATTCAAGTCTTACATCGGTGTGTTCAAGTCACGTGTATTCAAGTCTTACATCGGTGTGTTCAAGTCTTACATCAGTGTATTCAAGTCTTACATCGGTGTGTTCAAGTCACGTGTATTCAAGTCTTACATCGGTGTGTTCAAGTCACGTGTATTCCAATCTTACATCAGTGTATTCAAGTCTTACATCGGTGTGTTCAAGTCACGTGTATTCAAGTCTTACATCGGTGTATTCATGTCACGTGTATTCCAGTCTTACATCAGTGTATTCAAGTCACGTGTATTCAAGTCTTACATCAGTGTATTCAAGTCACGTGTATTCAAGTCTTACATCGGTGTGTTCAAGTCACGTGTATTCCAGTCTTACATCAGTGTATTCAAATCACGTGTATTCAAGTCTTACATCAGTGTATTCAAGTCTTACATCAGTGTATTCAAGTCTTACATCGGTGTGTTCAAGTCACGTGTATTCAAGTCTTACATCGGTGTGTTCAAGTCACGTGTATTCAAGTCTTACATCGGTGTATTCAAGTCACGTGTATTCAAGTCTTACATCGATGTATTCAAGTCACGTGTATTCAAGTCTTACATCAGTGTGTTCAAGTCACGTGTATTCAAGTCTTAAGTCAGTGTATTCAAGTCACGTGTATTCAAGTCTTACATCGGTGTGTTCAAGTCACGTGTATTCCAGTCTTACATTGGTGTGTTCAAGTCACGTGTATTCCAGTCTTACATCAGTGTATTCAAGTCTTACATCAGTGTATTCAAGTCTTACATCGGTGTATTCAAGTCACGTGTATTCAAGTCTTACATCGGTGTGTTCAAGTCACGTGTATTCAAGTCTTACATCAGTGTATTCAAGTCACGTGTACTCAAGTCTTACATCATTGTATTCAAGTCACGTGTATTCAAGTCTTACATCGGTGTAGTATTTAAGTCGAAAATCAGCAAATCCTTTGCTACACTTATATTGATGCCAAATAAACTTCTGTCAATACAAGCCAGAATTTCATTTGTTCCGATTTTTAAATTTTTTTTTATTTAATAGATGAACTGCTAAATAAACAAAAGCAACGTTAAAAGTCAATACTATCTCATTATTTATAATCTTGAGCTTTAGAAGTTATCAGCACAAGTAAATGAAAGCAAATAATTATATATATACAATGAAATGTATGGAGAAAACTAACAGCATCCAAACTCAAAGATCCATTCCAATAATACAAATCAGAAGCTGAGCCAACACAGACCTCTTAACATCAGAGTTGGGACCGGGTGCCATAGAGGAGTAAGCATTCTCTGCCAAACGGTTACACAAGCTGTAAGCTCCTTGACATGATCGGAAAATAATGTAAAATCCCGTCCATATTTTGGTGTATAAATCATGGTCTAACAATTAGTATGAAAAACATCAGTCAGCATTTGACCTAATGATAGATCGTTTGCTGACAAGGCAATTGTATCGACCATAGAACCTAAGAAATGATTACTTACGTATAAGTGCTTGGCCTACGCATTTTTTCGTTTGCCAGGTTATGAAAAGGAGCACACGGCTGGTGTGACCGGTCGACAGGGAATGCTTATTCCTCCATCTGGTGATTTTATAGGTTCATGTTTGCGGTGCATTTAATTTGTATGGTTTCAGTGGACTTGTGATCTTGATTAATGTTTGTCGTCTGTATATTTCATTAAGACACCATAACTTGATAGAAGACTGCAAATTTAGACCTGTTCTAGGCACTTTGACCTTTGAGCAGTGAAAGAACGTTTCCTGCCAGCACCTACTGAGAAAGAAACCTCTTTTTATACGGTCTCAGCTGAAGGACCGGTCTCCATCTGTTGTAGTGGGATTCAAACTCGCAAAGAGTAGAATCAACTCCGAAACTCTAGAACAAACGCTCTAGCCACTGCGCCACGCCACCTATCTTACTGATATGTTTACTTAAAAGTCAATTGTTTTAGCACGTATTTTATTTCATTTGTTAGCATTCCCCTCCGTATCTCTCACTTAAAAAACCCGATATAAATTTTTTCAATATAGGAATTATCAGTTCCAAATCAATTGAAATCATGCCATATAATATTAACTTTGACATCGAATTCCTACCTAATGCACTCTTTGAATTTTCATTGATTCTGCAAAATGCATTGGCAGTCATAATTGAATGTTTTGGACTGTTGCGTGCGTATTTTCATTGTGTTACTTTTGCTGTAATGAAAATGATAATAATATGATGGGATTTCTTTGCTAGCAATGAAAATTTTAATTTGATCGTATATTTAATGAGACAAGATAAAATATGTAAGGGCATTGGTTCACAAATCTAGTTCAGCTTATCATTTATCATTAATGACTTTGTATGCCAATTCACAATTTAGTATCAAACACTTCATTTTTTTCAAACTTTCATTTGGTGAAAAATCCCTTATTTAGCATCAAAAGTAAGAACTTAATGTACATGTATATCCCCCATTCATCCCCCCCCCCATATTAAAAGTTTTTTTTAAATGTACCACAATGAATTGAAATGATAAAAAATCATGAAAGTTATTCAACTTCCTTTCCTCTTTACTTGTTTTTCTTATATGTACACAAGGTAAACTGAAAGTTGAAGTACAATGTACATAATCTTATGATACCATGATTATTTCATTTTTTCATTTACGAAATTTTTCAGTACAATTTAAGGTTAATATCTACACATAGATCATAATTGGTCAAATATAAATATTATGACGTGTCTGTCCCCTTCTAGGTTGTTCACTGTAGCTTTTTGGAATTACCAGAAAGAGGACGTAAAATGTGTTTTCTCCTTTAGTTCTCTGTGACATTATCATCTTTAGCTACATCATGAGCTACTGGCTCTTCATGGTAACCTTTATGATATGGATTCAAAAGAGACATCATTCTTTTAGCATATCTTATGCAACGTTTTTTTCAAAAGTTAAAAAAATAAAGAAAAGTGGATATAATTATTAATAAAGGGTTGAGAGTATATTTGATATTTTAAAAAAAAAGGGGGAGGGGGGACTTTAAGGATTTCAATTTACTTTGCTCTTGAAGAAGAATGTAAAAATTGACGAGTAAAAATCTTGACAATTTTGAAATCTTCGTCAAATTTGTCCACCTTACGACGTCGTCAAAGTTTCTACATTTAAAGTATGTAAGAGTATGGATAATGAGATTATCAAACATAGATCTCTGTTAATAAAACTTTTCTGGTGACCTAAATAATGATTCAAACTATAAATTTATATACATGTATAAAGATAGAAATAAATTGTAGTACTAGTTTATTTTAAGCAACTTACACATTTTCATCGAATTTATTCAAATGTTAGTAAGAGTTGGGAATTTAATTTCTGCTGAGGAAAAATTTTACGTCAAAAACTCGTATCATAATTCACTAATTATTCATAAATATTTTTTCTTAAAGCCTTGTTTAAAAATCTATTAAAAATGAATTTAATATTATGCCTGGTTTTAAAGCCATTTCTTTGAAATATTTCTTTTTATGATAAATGGGTTCTACCATGAATGCAACTGCAGAAAAAAATCAAAATTTAGATAAAACTTCTGTCTTATACTAGACCTTTCACATAAAATTCAGGAACATGAGATGGAATGTTCTACAGTATTTCACGCACTGGGTCTAATAAATATTGTTTATGCCAACAACAGAAAAAATAAAGCTTAGTCAAAGAAAACAGATCACCTTCTCTTCTCCTGACCCTCTCCCACGACCTCTTCCACTTTCTTGACCGCGACCTCGACTTTGACTCCGACCCCGACCTCGTCCTCGACCTCGTCCTTGACCCCGGCCACGACCTCGACCACTGAAACGTCCTTGTCCTGTCCTCAAACCTACTTCTCCCTCCTAAAAATCATAGTGAATTCAAATGACAGCCTCAGTACTACTTACCTAAGAAACCCTCTTTTTGCAGAAAAAAATTATGAAAAAAGAAAAGGAAATTAAGGCTGCCTTTACCTTCCCCCGGGGGTCATGATTTGAGCAATTTAGAGTTAACACTATTCCAGGATGCGATCTTAAAAATTTTAGATTTATGGCCCAGTTTTTCTTAAGAAGCAATTTTTAATGATCTATTTTTGTCTTTTCGTGATTATCTCTCCTTGGATGGGAAGTTGACCTTTCATTTTAAAAATAATTTAAATTTCCTTCTATCCAAGAATACTTTGTACCAAGTTTGGTTGAATTAAACTGGCCCAGTAGTTCTTGAGAAGAAGATGAAAATGTGAAAAAAAAAATACAAACAGACGGACGACGGACAACAAGAAGTCTGTTAGCCAATTCTTACTAGTCTCGTTCAACCAGACCCTCGGCTGTCTCCGTAAATCTCCGACCAGCCAGAGGGTCTGGTAAAGATACGTGATATCGTTTGTAACGCCAAAACGAGGCTTACCAAATTTCTGGTAAAGTTTTTGATTGGCTGAAAAGAACACACCTCCACAATTTAAACAAATACATTGTAAATCAGCAGAAAAAAAACTTAAAGTTTTAAAAGTTAAATGTCTAAAAGTTATAGCAGTTAAAGAGGAATAATTTTATTATTTATGGTAATGTGAACGGGTTATAGGTAAGTGTCTTTGAAAAAAATATCATGTATTTTTTTTACGAAAGCTAAAGTGGAAGTAGTTTAGCTACCTGCAGAATACATATTTCTTCGACTGATATTGTAATTACTCGTTGTTATGTCCAATTTTAAAGATCAATTTATTAATATAAACTCACAATCTAACAGGAAACACATGTATAATATTCGTTTCAAAAAGAAGTCGTCAAAATGTAAACAAGATAGCGCCCTCTGACGGTAACAAACGCTAATGTGACTCTTTACCAGACTCTCTGCTGGTCGGAGTTTACGGAGACAGCCGAGCGTCTGGTTGAACGAGACTAAATTCTTACTAGTACGAGGGTTGATCCAAAAGTAATGTCACAACTTCCATAAAATTGCTACTGGTCGACGTAAATTTACAAAACTTTACATGATTCAACCTATATTTATTTCAAATCAGTCCTGAAAAATTCAAATTAAAATGATTTATACTTTTCAAAATATCGAATTATATAAAAAGTGCGGATAAGGCAGTCGCACCTAAATAACGTCATATGACGGATATGCTGTCATACACTTACATTCACATAATTATTTTACTTTCTTTATGAATTACTTGCACCAATTGTACACTCAATCTATCTATAATTTAGTCCTCTATCAAAATTCTTTGAACAGTACCATAAGACAAACTTAAAGTTTCTCATATCACTCTAACCGTGACACGTCTTTTTGAAAACATCAGACATTAAACGTTTCCGCCCGACCTCCTATCTTTCGGTCCTTCTGTCCTCAGCTGATCATTCAATGACCCATGACCCACCCAAAGTCACTAAATAAGGATATGGAGATAACGAATAGTATTCAATCTCAAAGTCCATAAAACAATACAAATTAGGAGCAGAGCAAACACGGACCTCCGAAACATCAGAGATGGGATCAGGTGCCATGGAGGAGTGAGCATTCCCTGCTGACCGGTCACACCCGCCGTGTGCTCCTTGTCATGATCGGGAAATAACGGGAAAATCCGTCGTCAATTTAGTGTATAAATAATGGACTAACAATTAGAAAAAACGTCCATCAGCATTTGACTCAATGATAAATTGTATTTGCTGACAAGGTCATAGTATCGACCATAGAACTAACGAAATGATAACTTTAAACGAGACTGCTGATATTCTTGTTTCATCAATTTGCTTGTCAATAATTTACCTCGTTTTCGAAATTGGTCATACATAGAGCATGCTCTTGCATATCGAATCAACTGAGATAAATGTATTACGTATGCAGGTGATGAAGGTATATTGCTGCATAAATAAGGGACGTTGACGAAAGAAAAGTTAAAGTCATCACGTTTATCATGTAGCTGGGCTGTTAGATTACCAATAACGTCTTTTTCAAGTAAAATATCCAAGTATGAAACAGATGTGTCAGACTCTGTGGTATCTTTTATCTCAAGCTCACAAAGATGTATCGTATCGACAGAGGAATGGAAATTACCATTGTTAATTGACAATACGTCATCGATATATCTAAATGTCGAGTTGAAGGCCACAGCAAGTGTTTTTTTTTCTTTTCATGCATAAGATTTTGCACAAATTCTGCTTCATATGAATATAAAAATAGGTCTGCTAATAACGGAGCGCAATTGGTACCCATTGGAATTCCAATAGATTGTAGGAAGACCTTTTCTACAAAAACCATATATATATTGTCAATCAGAAACTCAAGCATCTCTTTGATGTCAACTTCAGAGTACTTGTGTGTGCAATCAGAATGTGTTTTAACAAAATAATTTTGCAAATGACCAATGACCATTAAACCATCTTTAAGCAAGTCTCTTGAGTAAAGTTTTTTCCCCTGTGAGTCTGATTATTCATCGTAAATGTCTCTACTGGCGATTTCCCGATTTCGAAAGAAAAACGCATTACAGCTCGTATTGACATTTCCTGTGTGCAATACATCAGATATAAACGACAATGTTTATGATTAAAAAAAAATAATGTCATTTGATTTTTAACTAAAGACTAGAAAATGTCTTTTAAAATATTGGGCGATTAGACGCTTTTTTAGATGTGTTTTTTTTTTAAATGTTTTTTGTCTTTTTTCATTCTAACAATATAAAATTTAAAACGTGACGTGAAGTTGTGACGCTGCGACACCCCTATGTTAAATGTTTTAAACGTCTATAAAATGAATACAATTAAACATTATTCAATGAAATTTTCAATTTTAATCAGATTTATTTTTATGCATCTTTTGGTACATTATATTTGAAAATATGAGCCAAATTTGGACACAGTGACATTACTTTTGGATCAACCCTCGTAATACCCCCGCTCTGATGTGAATATACAATATCGTGTTAAAAAAAGTTACGGGTATATGCACGGATAAATAGGAACTTGACATCAGATTTATATAAAATAAATTCCACCATACTGCATGCCTCAACAAAGTATGTACTAAAATTTCAAGCATTTATTATGAGTAGTTGCTGAGAAAACTGCGACGAAAATTAAAAATTTGCGATTTGAGAAGCAGACAGATGCATTAACAAACAGGAAGTTGACATCAGATTTGAACAAGAATAAATTCCATCACATAGCATGCCTTAGAGAAAATTGTGTTAAAATTTCAAGCATCTGCCTTGAGAAGTTGCTGAGAAAACTGCGACGAAAATTTTTTACGAACAGACATCCGGACACATAAGGATAAAACAGTATACCCCCTCTTCTTCGGAGCGGGGGTTTAATGAGTGATCAGAAAAGTTACTTGAGCTTTCAGCTAGAAACCTCAAAAGTCTCTTCCAACCCTCACCATTGTCTGAAATCGGTGACTTGGTATTACATTTAGTTATAATCTAAACATGTTATATACTGTATGATTACTTCTGCTAGAGGGGTTAATCGACACATGCTGTCACTTCTTATCGTTCCACTTCACTGTATTTGTTAATAATAATAATATAAACTACTCGCTTACCCTAATTTCCTTTTCTTTTTTCATCATTTTTCTGCAAAAAGAAAAAAAAATTTCAATGAAAAATTTACAATTATCATGAATTATGTCTTAAACTGTTCGTGGTACTGTTGTATTTCAGACAAGTGCAAGTATTTCCGTATTAATATTACAATGGTACTTTTATTCTGATATTTAAGGAATGAAGCTTATTTCAACTTGTATTATGCAATATAACATAACTTGGGACAGTTTACGCTTTATAAACCGCGAAGCGGTTTATAAAAAAGCGTAAAGTGACCAAAGTTTTGTTATATCGTATAATATAAGTTGAAATAAGCTTCATTCCTTATAATTTAATTTCAGTGCAGACAATGAGACAATTCCCCCCCCCCCCCCAGAATAAGGCTTCACGTTGATTAAATTTTAAAAGTAACGTCAAGCGGAGTAATACGTTTTTGACGTAACTCATTGTGACGTAGGCAAGTTATGTTATACAAAATGGATAAAATCTTTTATCCAATGAAATGACGTGTTACAAGTAAATTTAAATTATTCTCTAATCTTCTTTTAATTATTTTTCAAACACTCAATTTCACACACAATATCTCTTACAATCTCAAGGCTATAAACCCGGCAAAGGCTAGGACAGCGGCCATCACCCCGCAGACAGTACCAGCGATAGCGCCAATGTTAGGTTTCTCTCCGTCCTCTCTCTTAGGCTCCATAATAGCACTGGTGTCCTTAGTATCTACGGGAGAGAACGAGAATCAAACACGTATAATATGTATAAATAAATCCATAATAGCACTAGTGTCCTCAGTAGTAACATAAGAGAACAAAAATCAAAATCGTGTGTATAAATAAATCAATTGCATGCCAAGAAATCAATTTTCCATTGTTTTAACAATTTTAATAACTCTAATACAACATGACTATGATGTGCATTTACTAACAGTATTTTGGCATAAAATGTTGAGTCTGACCACGGTTTATGTCAAAACTCAATGAGTGACCTGCTAGTTCACATGTATTGACTGTATGGAATTCTCCACTTCTTTTACCTTCTTTGCATTCTTCATCTTTGGTGACGAACAGTCGGTGTTTTATTTGGTACCACCCTATGACCATTGTGAATGTCGCGTCCTCTTTGATACCAGACGCCACGATCTTCGCCTGACACTGGAAAGCTCCTGTTAGGGTGTCACACATATCCAGAGGAATAGAGATCTCAAAATAGGCAGAGGTCCCTGGAAATACAGAAGCATATAGATCTCAAAATGGGCAGAGGTCCCTGGAAATACAGAAGCATATAGATCTCAAAATGGGCAGAGGTCCCTGGAAATACAGAGGAATAGAGATCTCAAAATAGGCAGAGGTCCCTGGAAATACAGAAGCATATAGATCTCAAAATGGGCAGAGGTCCCTGGAAATACAGAAGCATATAGATCTCAAAATGGGCAGAGGTCCCTGGAAATACAGAAGCATATAGATCTCAAAATGGGCAGAGGTCCCTGGAAATACAGAGGAATAGAAGATCTCAAAATAGGCAGAGGTCCCTGGAAATACAGAAGCATATAGATCTCAAAATGGGCAGAGGTCCCTGGAAATACAGAAGCATATAGATCTCAAAATGGGCAGAGGTCCCTGGAAATACAGAAGCATATAGATCTCAAAATGGGCAGAGGTCCCTGGAAATACAGAAGCATATAGATCTCAAAATGGGCAGAGGTCCCTGGAAATACAGAGGAATAGAAGATCTCAAAATAGGCAGAGGTCCCTGGAAATACAGAAGCATATAGATCTCAAAATGGGCAGAGGTCCCTGGAAATACAGAAGTATATAGATCTCAAAATGGGCAGAGGTCCCTGGAAATACAGAAGCATATAGATCTCAAAATGGGCAGAGGTCCCTGGAAATACAGAGGAATAGAGATCTCAAAATAGGCATACGACCCTGGAAATATAGAGAAATAGAGCTGTCAAAGTAGACAGAGGTCCCTGGAAATACAGAGGAATAGAAGATCTCAAAATAGGCAGAGAGTGAGAGAACGAGGCTATGTTTATCATATATTGCATGCAGATTTTATGAACAGGTCTACTCGCTGACTCTTTTTTTTCCAGTGAAAAACAAAAATACATTTAAATGCAAAGTACATATAGTAGTTTATAGTGTAAAGGCACACAAGGATAATAAAGTAAGCTACAAAAATATAGTTTGAAAAACAGCTTCGAATGAACGACAATAGAAAAACACAACTTACCAGGCCCCTCTTTGCCTTTCCAGTATCTCTTTTTGGTTACATCAAGAAATCTCTTAAATTGTGGAAACATACGGATTCTGTAGGATTTCACATACAGAGATTTTCCCGCCACGAAGGCTGCCAGCATCACACGAGCGTTTGGCCATTTCGGAAAAGGCACATAAAATATGTAAAACTCGTACACCTTTCTAACATCTTTCTCCAGTTTTTTCACATCCACTTTACAGTTTAGATCCATAAACTTCAAACCATCTCTTTGTCTAAATGTTGCATTCATAATCGTGTTACTACCTGAAGATTAATTTTATCATAAGTCAAAACATATTTTTCATTCCTATCTTCATAGTGAAACTGTACTTATCTATTTCTGCATCTGAAAATCAGAATGTTAAAATTTCCATTTTGTCAGAATTTAATGCAATTTGAAATAATGAAATACCAGTAGAAAGTTTTTGCAAAGTTTTCTAATTAATCTGAATTATATTTTATTGGTTTCTTTCCCAAAGAAACATTGATGTCCTTGCAGAGGTTGATAGTGTCTTACTTGATATTCTGTAGCTATAATATTTTTGATTTTCTCAATCAATCAATCAAAATTCAGTAGTATATCGGAGGGTTTCTATATCAAAGTTGTCATTTTTGCATGATATGCTTCCCAAAAATTATTTATCTAATCCTTTGTACATATATATACCTTGAAGCTTCTTAACCATAATTCTTTTATATACAAGTTATATATGTACCCGTTAAGTGAAAGAAACCTTAATCTTACATAATCAAGTCACTTGCTGGTTTGGTTTAAAGGCGGGCTAGTCCAATTAGATTCCATTTTGATAGAAGGCATAAAAATTTAATTTTTAAAAAACCACAACACAACCACAGTGAATTTCAGGTTCTCAAACCAATTCATTGACTCATTCTGCTACATTGTACCTACCTTCTGTTAAAACTTTGTTCATGTCACTCGAGAAATAGTCTATAAAACAGAAAATTATCAAGATTTAGTACTTCACAGTTTCTAATACTGGCTTTCTAGGGCTACATGCACATACACTTTTCAGCTCAAGGTATAATTCAAACACTTACCTTGTTTGAAAAAGCTTTCTCTGACTGAGCTCATGTAGATATCTGGTAACGGGTCCTTTCATGAAAAAAGGAAGCACAACAGATTTTGTAACAAACTTCAAAACATATAAAACTCTTTTTTTCGTATTGTACTGATCAATACCTACAAAATTTTGTAAATATTTCCTTTCTTCTTCTTTATATTTATTTGTTTTCTTCTGACTCAAACCTGTAAATTTAGTATGATATGCTAGTATTCATAAATAAATGGGCTAGTGGCTTAAAATGAATTTCAGAGGAGGGGGGGTGATGGAGGTGATTGTGTTTGTGCAAGTGTGCATGTGTCATTAACATACTGTAAATGTATTATATTTAGAGTGTACGATATTTGGCGGAAATTGAATTTTTAACAAGTTAGCGTGGATTTGATTTAGCGCATATCTTTATTTTCTTCTTTATATGTATATGTGCGAGACTTTTAGCTTTTATTTGAATTAGCAGAGGTTGCTTTCCGCCAAAATCGCTAAAAAGAATACACAGCGAAATGTAATACTTTTACAGTACAATGTATAAAGTATAAAGTATTGTGTGACAGTATGTTATAATACCTTTCAATTTTTGACGGTTAATGGTTTAAAATCTTTGAATATATGATGAAAAAGTTATAAAATCTTTCTATGTTTGACTATAAATGTTATATAATCTTTCAATGTTTGACGGTAAATGTTATAAAATCCATCATTTTAATGTTACCAAAGAAAACAATGTACAAATTCCTGTAATTGAGTAATGTACCCAGCATATCCATGTAAAATTGTGACAATTAAATGTAATCAAATATTTTAACAAATCTTATCAAATATTGAAAAAATTACCAAATTTAAAAGAGGGAAGGTAATTTTACTAATTTATAGTAAGGTTCAATGTAATATCATGAAATACAAACGCTTTCTAGCCTCCTCTATAAATATAACCTGATTTTGATCAGTTGAAAAATCACACCTTTATCAATGCATATACAGTCAAACTTTGTTATCTCAAACCTGATAGGGCTGAGAAAAACTTCAAGATATCTGAAAACTCTAGATATCCAGGCTAAAATACTTAAAGAATATGTGGTTAGGACTTCCACATCTCATCTTAATGTCAATTTTATTCGAGATATCAAAAACTGAGATACTGAAGTTTAAGTGTATATTATCTAAGAAAATATTTCATTAACAGAATAACCAAATCTAAGTTAAACACTTCGATTAACTTTGATTTACAGTATTTCTTTTGCTTGCATTTAGAACTATTCAATAGGTTTGTTAAACCACAGTATTTATTCTACAATATTTACATTCAGTGTAATTTTCCTTATGAAATCCATTAGAGATCCACGACGTTCAAATTTCTATTACACACGTGAAACCTTGTCACCGTGCATTAGAATACATAGTAGGAACTATATGCAAATGATACCCTAGGAACACCAAAATGTAAAATGTTTTATTTCAATTTAATGATAAACTATAACCCTGAAAAATTAACGTAAAAATTAACGTAATGTGCATTAAGAATTAATTTGTCACTTTTTTTCCTTGCAATGTTTGTTTGCATAATTTAACTTTGCAACGTCATTTAAGAGCCAGTCCGCGAGAAAACCATGCAGAACTGTCCAAATCGAAGGTTGTCATATCTTAATGAAATTTGGTGGGTAGTTAGACTTTACAATATGTTATTCAAAGATGACCAAAAAAATTCCCATCATTCAACATGGCAGCCGTAGGCAGCGCCACCTCCTTTTTGCACATTTAAGTGCAAATGCACTTAAAAATTCAATAAAAATGGTAAAATTCACATTTGATTTATTTTACTCAAAATTAAACTTGCATTTCCACTAAGGTATTTTTAAGTAACATAAGACTATGTTCTTTCAAAATTGACATTTATCATAATCAAATATGCAATATATCAAAGGGCAGACAACTCTTGAAAATTGGCGTGATGCCAATTTTCAAGAATTGCCAAAAGTATTACAAATTTAATGCCCCAAATCTTCCAAGACCAATCTTTGAAATTAATTTTTTTGATTTTATTGTACAAATATAACTCTAAACATTATCTTTGCGAAATATTGAGCTTGGGAAATAATAAATAATTGAGATATGGGGATTTACAAATTGCCAATTTTCAAAAAAAATGCTCAAACTCAAATGGGTTACAAAGTCAAATAAAGTACTTTAAATTATAAGCAATTGTTGTTAGATATTGAAACATGTAACAATTTTCTTTGAAATAATAATTGAAATTGAAAAAATATTAAAATAAAAAAAGAAATTAAAAATAAAATTAAACTAAATTGTCAGAAATTACCCCTTATATGAGGACTGGCATTTTGCCAATTGTTTAGAAATGAAAAAAAAGCATAATAAATTGTATTGGCTTACTTGCAATTTTTCAACAATCATGAATATTCATGTTCTTTATATTTTGTAAGTTAGTTTCTCTTTAATTAATAAAAGGGAAATTACAAGTATTTAAATTCAAACGGACTCTATTTCAGTATCATTCATATAAAGAATGGGTGGACTTAACTGGCCAGTAAAAATTCCATAAATTTAAGTTTCATAAAATGTTTATTTATTTTTTTTTCATCAAAGAAACCACCCATATCTTAACTGTGTATTCATGGTACGGACGTGAATTTAAACGATTTTTTTGAGGTAAACTAAATAAATATCGAAGGCATGGTGCCTGAAGATTTCTTGAATATCAATAGATAATCAGGGTCACGCGTTTTTCATCGTCTGAATACATAGTCAGCACATGTTTGTCGGCTGTTTTTAAGAAAACTGTAGTTGTATATTGAACAAAATAATGTTATATGAAAAGGAGAAGAGCCGACAAAAGTGTGCTCATACTTAATTTAACAAAAAACATGTTCAAAACAAACTTCTCGCTTCCATTGTTATGTCTTCGATTGACCTGTTAAATATTACAATTGATTACGTGATATCCACCTGCAAGTGGACTCGTGAAAACAGTTACATTGTATTCTTCAACCTGACCTCGATCTAAATCTTGTCTTTGGGCGTGTTTTGTTGCCGTTTTCAGAATTTAGCAAATCAAATATTGTTTTAATTTTGCCTGTCATAACATTTTTAAAATAATTTCAAATTGACATCGCTGTAATATGCTAAACACGTATTCGAATTTTTGGAGAGAGAGAAGGATAGAAAGAGAGATTTCAACAATGACGCCAATCGATAGCCCCGCCTCCTATAAATATTGATTGTGTAACATAAAAACCACTCCGGGTACATGTCAAATTCCGGAAGACGACACTTATGTATCATTGCTTTAATGTTGATACATGACAACATGGCATTGTTTTTGCAAAATTTTTTCACCTAATATAACCAAGTATATGTGGCTCTTTCCATTGCTCGTAATATACTTTGGATTTAGTTCATTTTCGACTTGGTAGAGGAGTCACAAAAAGATCCAAAACAGGGCATTAAGTCCACCCATTCTTTTGAGACTTGAACATATACAATTTGAGCTTTCAGCAAGTTGTTTGCTTTCTGCCAATTTTAAATTGGTGCAATCTTATAAAAATGCTGACAGGAGATGTTACACAAAATACTCCATAAAGGAGTTTAAGAAAATGAAAGATGCTGGAGTTTACTCTTATCCCACCTCCCGAATCAAACAATTGTCTTCTTTTTTGGCTTGGCAAATTCTTTTCAGGTAAGTTTAATTTTACACCCCACCCACGCACCCCATCCCACCCCGACCCTTTCAAAATCATTTCTACGTCACTGCTATGACTGCGATTTTCGTGAATAAGAGATTTTATGAACAAGAATAAATCAACCTGTATCAAATAATGGGGGATTGAATTTTTAAAATTTATATGTTTGTAAATTTGTGTATTTAAAGTGATTTAATCTAAAATAAAAAAAAATATCATACGTTTTCCGTTCCGTTTTCCGTTTCTCGTTTTAGCAACACCCCTCCAGAACCCCTATTATTTTTCATTATTTTATACATTTCAATAATAGTATTTAATTGTGGGGAGGTGTATGGGGTTAAACGATTGGGTACTAGATACACTCGTATATTTAATATCCTGACCTTGAAAAATGATTTTATTAATCTTTTCTCGACTGACACGCCCCCTTCCCCAACTGTTTTCAGTGGACACATTTAACATTTAAAAAAAATAATTTATCTTCAAAATAAAACTCTGTCTGCAATGATATTAATAATACCATTATGGTTATTCAGAAAAAGTGTCAAACATTAATTTACAAGGCCTTCTACAATTTTATTAATAATGTTATGAAAATAATTTTGACAAAATTTGATACCCCCCCCCCCCATTTGAATGAATATGAATCCAGTCTTTTATCATGTTTATAGATGTTAAATTCAAGCCGGTTTTAACTTTTTACCACTTTGTACTGCAAACTGGCATAAATTTTGGCTGCAGTAACAACTCATGTTTTCTTTTTTTTTTGGGGGGGGGGTACCCTCCCCCGAATAATTTTGCCAATATATATCGTGGAGGGTCCTATATCAGTGTGGTACCTAAAATCGGTGGCATCTCCTTTTGTGCTGATGATTTTTTAATGGGAGATCTGACTTTATCAATATATGAATGTTACGTAACACAGTAGTTTAAAGTATGTAATGTAAAATTAAAAATATTCCTAGGAATGTTTGGTTAACTCAAAAACACACTAAATTTATGAAACGTAAACAATTTACATGTAGATTGAAATTACCAATTATTTTTGAATTTGTTGAGAGTAATGACAGTATGCAATCAAATACCTGTATGCATGTATATTCTATATTTTCTCAACTGATAACAAAACAAGTTGCTAAGACACTAAGAAAACTACGTACGTTTATATTGAAAATATATGACTTTAGTTAGTCAGTCCTCCATGATTTTTCCCCTCGCTTATTTCATTATTGAACGTTTCATATATGTTTTTTACCTCTGACCTGAATTTATTTTGTAAATATTCTTCATGTACCTGAAATGGATTGAGTGAATAAAATGATCTTGAACTTGAATGGGGCCAGGTGCCTTAAACAAAATATCAAATGTATATTTTGATAAAAAATATCTGCTAGGAAAAATTTTGTAACTGTTAATTACCACGAAATACATGTAGATTCCTCGAGGACAGAACCCTATAGAAAACATAGCTACTACATGTATATGCTTGTTCCCCAAATAAAAAAAAACATCTGATGACCTTTTATTTATTTTTTTACTTTCTTTGGAATTCTTGGCAGTTGATAATGTAGGTTGTCCCCCCTCCATCACACTGAAATAGCTTCCTATGGGCCTGCTATTTGTTTATTCAGGCTAAGTTGTTGTTTCTTTCTTACATTCAAATATCTTAAAATAAGTTTTCCCTCTTTCATAGTGCAATTATGCTCCACAACAACTCCCTAGGTGAAGACAAAATGATCATACATGACTTTCTTCTTTCCATATTGACATACCTGTCACTTTTTACCCAATAATACTAAAGAGTTCCAACAAGGGGAGATAACAATTTAACTCCAGCAAATTGGTAACAAGAGCCTAAAATAAGCAAAAGAAAGTTAATATGAAGTATCCAAATCAGTTATTCCTACTCTAAAAAATATATTAGATTAAGAATCTTCTCTTTTTCATTTAAATATCATAGAAATAATCCATAAATATGGTAAAAGACTGTTATTCAAAATATGTGAAATTGTAGCAAAGTACGGTATTTCAAAGTTAATTTACAACATGTAGATATTATTTCCCAAGCTCAATATTTCAATACAAAGTAGACCTTAAATCATTCTTAAAGTAATAATTAATCTAATTTAATTTCAACCTTGGTCTTGAGAGAAACGAGCATCTAAAAATGGCTAAAAAATCATACTCATTGATTTATGATCTATAAATAGATGTGCAAAAAATAAAATATTCATTTGAATTAAGTTTTTCCTCATTAATTGTGTAAATTGGATCATTACTTTGAAAATAAAACAAAATTTGAAAATAAACTGATGACAAAAAGTAACTTTTTGACAAGATCAATTTGTAATTAGATTTTCCATTAAATTTTGTGTGATTTTCAACAAATATGCAAATGAGCTGTTACTAAAAATAGATGCAGGGTTCGACATTTTTGTATGGATACTCTGACTTCTACCTTTATGTAGAAAATTTTAAGCCACTAAAAACTCCCAAGTTGCAACCTTCCATTTGGACGATTTTTTGAATTTTGCATGGTTTTCTCACGGACTGGCTCTTAACGTCATTTGACGTCACAAACGGCTCTTACATCTATTAATCATGGCAGTCTTGAACGGCGCTAAATTCACATTAAAGATAAACGAAATAAGGAATTATGAAAAAGGAAAATTAGAGAATGTAAATATAAGCATTGAATTCATATTTTTGGATGTCTTCGGTCCTATAACACACCTGGCCGTGCCGACAAATTATCATACTGTGCTAACGCGCGGTATTCAATTTGTCAGCACGGCCAGGTGTGTAATATGACCAAAGACATCCAAAACTATGAATTCAATGCTTACGCATTCCCTAGACATATTAATCTACAGTATTCCATAGACTTGTTAACCTACAGTATTCCCTAGACATATTAATCTACAGTATTCCATAGACTTGTTAACCTACAGTATTCCCTAGACTTTTTAATCTACAGTATTCCCTAGACTTGTTAATCTACAGTATTCCCTAGACTTGTTAATCTACAGACAGTATTCCCTAGACATATTAATCTACAGTATTCCATAGACTTGTTAACCTACAGTATTCCCTAGACTTGTTAATCTACAGACAGTATTCCATAGACTTGTTAACCTACAGTGTTCCCTAGACTTGTTAACCTACAGTATTCCCTAGACTTGTTAATCTACATTATTCCTTAGACTTGTTAATTTACAGTATTCCCTAGACTTGTTAACCTACAGTATTCCTAAGGCTTCCTAATCTACAGTATTCCATAGGCTTGTTAATCTACAGTATTCCCTAGACTTGTTAACCTACAGTATTCCTAAGACTTGCTAATCTACAGTATTCCCTAGGCTTGTTATACAGTATTCCCTTGACTTGTTAAGTTAACCAACAGTATTCCCTAGGCTTGTTAACCTACAATATTCCTAAGGCTTGCTAATCTACAGTATTCCCTAGACTTGTTAACCTACAGTATTCCCTAGACTTGTTAACCTACAGTATTCCCTACACTTGTTAACCTACAGTATTCCCTACACTTGTTAATCTACAGTATTCCTAAGGCTTGCTAATCTACAGTATTCCCTAGGCTTGTTAACCTACAGTATTCCCTAGATTTGTTAAGTTAACCTACAGTATTCCCTAGACTTGTTAACCAACAGTATTCCCTAGACTTGTTAACCAATAGTATTCCCTAGACTTGTTAACCTACAGTATTCCTAAGGCTTGTTAACCTACAGTATTCCCTAGACTTGTTAACCTACAGTATTCCCTAGACTTGTTAACCTACAGTATTCCCTACACTTGTTAACCTACAGTATTCCCTACACTTGTTAATCTACAGTATTCCTAAGGCTTGCTAATCTACAGTATTCCCTAGGCTTGTTAACCTACAGTATTCCCTAGATTTGTTAAGTTAACCTACAGTATTCCCTAGACTTGTTAACCAACAGTATTCCCTAGACTTGTTAACCAATAGTATTCCCTAGACTTGTTAACTTACAGTATTCCTAAGGCTTGTTAACCTACAGTATTCCCTAGACTTGTTAACCTACAGTATTCCTAAGGCTTGCTAATCTACAGTATTCCCTAGGCTTGTTAACCTACAGTATTCCCTAGATTTGTTAAGTTAACCTACAGTATTCCCTAGACTTGTTAACCAACAGTATTCCCTAGACTTGTTAACCAATAGTATTCCCTAGACTTGTTAATCTACAGTATTCCATAGATTTGTTCACCTTCAGTATTCCATAGGCTTGTTAACCAACAGTATTCCATAGACTTGTTAATCTACAGACAGTATTCCATAGACTTGTTAAGCTACAGTATTCCCTAGGCTTGCTAATCTACAGTATTCCATAGACTTGTTAATCTACAGACAGTATTCCATAGACTTGTTAACCTACAGTATTCCCGAGGCTTGTTAACCTACAGTATTCCATAGACTTGTTAACCTACAGTATTCCCTAGACTTGTTAATCTACAGTATTCCCTAGCCTTGTTAATCTACAGACAGTATTCCCTAGACATATTAATCTACAGTATTCCAAAGACTTGTTAACCTACAGTATTCCCTAGACTTGTTAATCTACAGACAGTATTCCATAGACTTGTTAACCTACAGTGTTCCCTAGACTTGTTAACCTACAGTATTCCCTAGACTTGTTAATCTACATTATTCCTTAGACTTGTTAATCTACAGTATTCCCTAGACTTGTTAACCTACAGTATTCCTAAGGCTTCCTAATCTACAGTATTCCATAGGCTTGTTAATCCACAGTATTCCCTAGACTTGTTAACCTACAGTATTCCTAAGGCTTGCTAATCTACAGTATTCCCTAGACTTGCTAATCTACAGTATTCCCTAGGCTTGTTAATCTACAGTATTCCCTAGACTTGTTAACCAATAGTATTCCCTAGACTTGTTAACCAACAGTATTCCATAGACTTGTTAACCTACAGTATTCCCTAGGCTTGTTAACCTACAGTATTCCCTAGACTTGTTAACCTACAGTATTCCCTAGACTTGTTAACCTACAGTATTCCCTAGATTTGTTAAGTTAACCTACAGTATTCCCTAGACTTGTTAACCAACAGTATTCCCTAGACTTGTTAATCTACAGTATTCCATAGATTTGTTCACCTTCAGTATTCCATAGGCTTGTTAACCAACAGTATTCCATAGACTTGTTAACCTACAGTATTCCCTAGGCTTGTTAATCTACAGTATTCCCTACACTTGTTAACCTACAGTATTCCCTACACTTGTTAACCTACAGTATTCCATAGACTTGTTAACCTACAGTATTCCCTAGACTTGTTAACCTACAGTATTCCCTACACTTGTTAACCTACAGTATTCCATAGACTTGTTAACCTACAGTATTCCCTAGACTTGTTAATCTACAGTATTCCCTAGACTTGTTAACCTACAGTATTCCATAGACTTGTTAATCTACAGACAGTATTCCATAGACTTGTTAACCTACAGTATTCCATAGACTTGTTAATCTACATTATTCCTTAGACAAGACTTGTTAATCTACAGTATTCCCTAGACTTGTTAACCTACAGTATTCCCTAGGCTTGTTAATCTACAGTATTCCCTAGACTTGTTAATCTACAGTATTCTCTTGACTTGTTAACCTACAGTATTCCATAGACTTGTTAACCTACAGTATTCCATAGATTTGTTAATCTACAGTATTCCCTAGACTTGTTTATCTACAGTATTCCCTAGACTTGTTAATCTACAGTATTCCCTAGACTTGTTTATCTACAGTATTCCCTAGACTTGTTTATCTACAGTATTCCCTTGACTTGTTAATCTACAGTATTCACTAGACTTGTTAATCTACAGTATTCCCTACACTTGTTTATCTACAGTATTCCCTAGGCTTGTTAACCTACAGTATTCCTAGACTAGTTAATCTACAGTATTCCCTAGACTTGTTAATTTACTTACAATATTTGCCGGCCCATCCTCCCTTTACTTTGTCGGCCGCTAACTCCCCACTCAGGGGCTGGTCTTTATTCTTATTGTAGACTTTAGCCAGAGCCTGACAGCGGAACTGTCCCGGGGAGTCACATTGATCCAGGATAAAGAAAATCTCCAGCCAATCAGTCACTGTGGAAATAAGATAGAATACAAATATAATATATGTATTCCAGCATACAAATATTTTACTATACATAAGAACAAGATTCTTGGTCCTCTTAACCAATTTTTTTCGACCAGCGAGAATAGCGCTTCATCTATCCGATTTTCAAATTAAATGAGCAATGACCTTTAACTCGGCTTAATCTCAAAAGTTACTCATGACGACAACGCTATACAAAGGTGAAGTTCATGATTGACTCAAAAGTTAAAATGTTTGCAAAATGGTAAAAAGCTAGCATTCTGTTTTGTCTTTTATACCATCGTATCAATGTTACCCGTCAGATCTGTAAATATGTTTCTATTAATACCGAGAACTCTTGACTCCAACAATTCTAGTATACTGTCAGAACACAGTTTTTTTTTTTTAACTTACCACTACCACTGATATCTGACAGCCCGCCCTGGTTCTCTACAGCACACATCATATAGGGCTGAACTTTATCCTTAAAGTACCTCCTGGGCTGGAATCGGACATTGTAACTACCGATTTCTTCTTCATCTCCGATCTTAGCACCTGCAACAGAGAAAAGGGGTTTAACTTTTCAGGTATTATCGATCTGCCGTACTGTTTTCTTTATATGCATTCAGATTTTTGTCCCCTCTATTTGATCTTTAATCATAACAGGAGACAGATTGTGGTTGATTACATTTGGCTGGAGTAGGGCTGCCAATATTGTGTCAATATACCTCGCCGGCGTACCTCCGATCATTTTGAATTTTTCACCACTACGAGCACGCCACCATACTATCCAGACTTCGACATTCTTCACAAAAGATTTGGCCTTCTCGTTCAATTGACAATATACCGACAAAACTTTTGATTTCCCAACTTCTTCTATCTTCACAGTTACATTTACTACATCTGTAACAAACATAACATTTGTATTTTTAAAACAGCAGTTAGATGAAAAAAAAATCTTCACTATACAAGATTTCTCCTCGTAAACCCTTAGCCTATGCTGCTTTTCAAAAGTCGCGACTGTTTGTAAGCAGAGAAGCGGATCAAATAACCATAGCCAGACTAAAGATGATGTAACTACAGATTATTTTTTCAAGTTAATCTTGCAAAGCGACCGTTGAAGAAAATTATTTTTAATATTTTACAAAAAAAAAAAATATTGAACTAACAAGTATATCTCAAAAAAAAAAAAAAAATAAAAATAAAAATAAAACTAAAGAGCCACAGCGCATTTGATAGTCACTTTCGCCTACTCTAGTAGTGATTTTTAAAATACTTTGTGTAACAAAAATTTTGTCATACAATGTTAGTTTAAACATGCCTTTAAGCAACTCACACAAAAATGATACTCAATCATTAATAGTTCCCTCATATGATAGATATAAAAATCGTTCAGTTTATATTGAGAATATAGAAAATACTGAGGTACCCCCCTAAACAATGACAAACTGTAGGAAAAGACCACCATTAATCAGAAAAACAACTTCTGAATAATTTTATTTGGATATGACTGCACTTCATTACGCTTAAATAATTTTGGTTAAAGGTGGTCTTTGTATTGAAAATGTTGAAAATATGTATTTAATTTTTCTTCTAAAATTATTTCAAAATTCAACAATCTGTCTTAATTTTATCCACTTGGTTACCAATACTTCGTGGTGAAGTATGGAAAGGAAGAATGAGTAAACATACATTGAAAATTCATAAATACATATATATTGAAAACACATATGGCTGGTCCGGGAATCGAACCCGGGACCCCTGTATTTCTAGTCAGGTGCTCTAACCACTGAGCTATCCAGGCCGATTTCCTCAATCCAGCCTAATTTCCTACATTCACCCCTCCTTAAATAGTCTTCGACCCCGAAGACACAACTCAAGTTCACCTTGTCAGGACTTTAACATTAGTAATTATACATTGCCTGAACAAGGTAGGCCACGGCACCATCTGTAGTATGGAAAGGAGGAATGAGTAAACATACATTGAAAATTCATAAATACATATATATTGAATGTATGTTGGGGGAAAACAATCTTAAACTATTTTAATGACCCAAAGTCATAGCTGCTAGCCTGTTTTATTTTTAAAATTTTCAAACAATCTTGTTTAGAATAAGATTATTGGACAAGTAAAACTATTGTCATGCAACAAACTTGCAACTATGAAAATATAACACTGGTTCACAAATGATTACATACATGTGGATTGATTTTGATTTGAAAGGTACATGTATCTATAAATAGAAACAGGTGATTTCCTTTTAAATACTTGTGTAGGCCGAGTCGTCGGTAAGTCAGCTATGGCTCTTTATCTGCATTGTAAATTCACTATTAGTTTCAGGACTGTCTCAATACTTATTAAGTAAATGCCACTTATTTCTGATTTTGGGCTTAATATCTAAAAAAAATAATAAAGCCCTAAAGTATTAAACATTATCTTTAATAGTAATTTTAAATTATTATTATTAAATTCTATTTGTAGAAACTCCATTATTATTTAAAAAATCTTATTATGCTTTAATCTTAAAAAAAATCAATGTTAAAAAAATATATTTTAAAAAAACCACTAAAACGTCTTTTCCTCCAAAAGCTGAAAATACAAATAACTAATAACACCTAATAATGATAAGGAAATAAAGAAATCGAATTGAAAGACTAACAAAATTTTAAATAGTATATAAAAAATTATGGTGGGAAAGATTAGTTTAAAGTGGGCTCAAATATTTTTTAAAAGCATTTTTACTTGTTATTTAAAATACTTTTTTATTTTTTGAATATATTTCTCAGGAAAGTATGACATGTGCATTTCAGATGAACATTATTTTCATTTCCTAATAGAACTTAATGAAAGCATCCGGGTGGATTTTACATGAAATGATGACTTATTATGACAAGGTTTTGGTTAATTAATTATCTCTGTTTTTGATAAGTTATACTATTAGTAACCATATTTTATTTAGCTATATAAGTTATTGCATATTTTAGAAGAGTTTCCATAATGCATGCTTTAAGAATCGAAAGAGTATTCCCTCTTCCTTGGACATTTACTCTCTACCATCGGCTCATACATTCACAGCCCGAGAGAGGAACGAACGACAACTCTGCACTGGGAGATTGTTGGACATTCACAGCCCGAGAGAGGAACGAACGACAGCTCTGCATTGGGAGATTGTTGGACATTCTCGTGGCATTCAATTTCTGATTGATCATTTTGGACCAAAATGACAGTTCAAGGTACACGGCCATGTTTGACGAGGGAAAGAACCCCCTTAAGTTTTTTTTTCATTCATAGTTACCTCCCCATTTCTTTTTGCGGGGATCAATATGTCTCGTGTTATACATCTCCATCGCTGTCAGGTGTTTCTTATTTTCTGAGCCCTGTGAAAAAATGAAACAAGCCTGTGAATGGATTGAGAAACACACCCTCCCCCTAAACTTTGGCAAAAAGAAGCCACATCATACTTACCAAAGACGTTTCTCCTCGCCATAAAAGCCACAGTATAACCAAAACTATAAAGGAAAAAATACATGTATATTAGGTTAATTTTATGTATTAATTAAAACTGTATGATGAAATGTAAAAATTATTCTCTTCCAATTTAAGCAAACCTTAGCTAATTAAAATTCAATGACTATTTTAAAAAAGTCTAGCTGTACATTGTTAGATTGTCTTGATAAATACATATTATTTCTGTATAACACAGTCTACGCCAAATATTTTTTTCCGGTACATGTCCTTCGGACGCCATCCTCTCAATCCACGGACCAGAGGCTATGGAATGTCTTTTATGAGGGTTAAGACCGCGGAACATTAACTGGCAAAATTGGAAATATACAGCTTACGTCATTTCTATCTGTTACAATCAAATCATTCAGTGATAGACAATGAAATGGGTGGATACAATTCGACGCGGACGATTGGAAAACATGGGATTGAAATTGTAGATCAAAATTCATTTTCAATCCACCTGAGCTGTTTTCAAAGCAAAGAGTGAATGTATGATCCAAAAATCAACTATATTTCAACTCCCAAATACCGGTACATATTGTTTGAAGTTCACATTAATATGAGTTTTAGGTTATAATTTTAAGAACGCGAAAGATCATACAAGACAATTATTTTTCAGGAGATATTTGATTCTAGAAGGGGGGGGGGGTTAAAAAATTGTCGAGTCAGGTCATGGCTTAACATGACAATATATTTTATTTCTGGGATTATAAGAGTGAATGAGTTTTATACTTATTCTCACTGAAAACTGTTGGACAATTTTATTTATTAAAAATCGTCCAACCCCCCAATCCCCACCAGCACCACCAACACAAAGATACACATATATTTACCAAACAAAAATGAAATATTTGTCCCTTAAATATTCATTCATTTAAAACACTGGACAAAAAAAATTCAAACTGTGCCAAAATTGAAATTATTTGTCTCCTGGGTCAATCAGTAATAATGTGCCTTCTAGCGTAGCCGAGGTGGATTGAAAATGAATTTCGATCTGCAATTTCAATCCCATGTTTTCCAAACGTCCGCGTCGAATTGTACCCGCCCATTTCATTGTCTATCACTGAATGTTTTGATTGTAACAGATAGAAATGACGTAAGCTGTATATTTCCAATTTTGCCAGTTAATGTTCCGCGGTCTTAAACATTATATGAAGTGTTTACTTCATTGTATGCGGTACTATTTTAATTATACGAAGTAGTTTTTACATTATATCGTGTGCAACTACCATTATATGCAGTTACTGTACTTTTTTCATTATATGATGTAATTATGTCATATTATTATGTACATCTCTCATTATATGAGGTGTTTTTATTATCATATGAAGTGCTTTTAATATTATAATATGCGGTAGTTTTAACATTATATGCAGTTAATACAATATACAATGTACTTCTCATTTTATATACAGTATCGTTAAATAATATATCCTCATATAAGACAGTCCCGGCGTTCCATAAGGGTCCCCATATATATGTACATGTAGATCTCTCTCCTACCCTTTGAAAACTCCAGACAGCTCAGTATTACGTTACATGTATGTGTTGGATCAAAAAGTAAAATAGGAGGTGCATAATGGAAATATGTAATAAATATTATTTGAAAGTTTCATCAAATTCATTCAAATAAAGGAATGAAAGGAGTTACGAATTTCAAAATTTTCTTTGTATTTTTAAACCTTTCAAATAAGTGGTACAAATATTCCAGAAGCATAAATGGTTAAATATAGAGTTGTTAAATACAATACCTCTGTTTTCCTAGTTTTGAATTGATTTTTCATTATCGAATCAAATGTTCTCTCTGGTCGATGACTTAATAAATAAAATAGGCTGACGAAATTACAGTTCTACATATTCCTTTTTAAAAAAATCCACATTAAGTATATAATCATAACTGGTTGGTTTAAATTGATCATTTTTGTAAAACTAAACTAAACAATATGAAAAATCTTGCATTTGTTAAAGGAAAAAAATTAGTTATACAGATGTGTGCCAAAAGTGAAGATATTTTTTTTCTATGTATATTTCATTGTAAACAACATTTTGTACAATCACATGCAAATTGTCCAATTTTTTGTCCAATTTCATCACGTATTTATTTCATTGGCGTTGGAAGCAAATTGAAAGGGGGGCTGAGTAAAAGAGTTAAAAAAAATCTCAAAAAACTTGACAAGCAAAAAAAAAAAACGAAAATTCTACTTCGAGGGGGGGGGGGGGTCCAACTTCTTTCAGTTCCAATTTTTTTTTCCAAACACAACCACTTAACCCTTTTTTGACCTAAAGTGCAACGTGGCTGTTGAAAGTGGGGGGCTAAGCATACGCCCAAATGCCCCCTCCCGGGTTTCAGTACTAGTTACATGTATTCTTTTTGTTAAAAATCATAACATATTTTGTTTTTAGTAAAACATCTAACAATTCATCACTTAACATCAGTTCTAAATTCAAGTTCAAGTTGACTATATTTATTGCCTGATAGTAAGGGAAATATGAAGATTTATTCAGTCAAGAAAAATCATATTCCACGAGGGCTTTGATCATGTGATAATCTAGAACCAATCATATAACGCGTTGTGCAGAATATGATAAAATTTATTTTTAAAAAAAATCGACTGTACCATATATATAACGTTAAGGCCAATCTCTAAATCGTAACAAAAGCGAAAAATATCAGAATGAGATATCGATTTACAAGAATGATATACTAGGAAATCATGTATTTCTGATTTTTTTAAGGGGGGGGGGGGGGGGGGGGGGTATGTCAGGTGCCTTTGGAAGCATGTCATTAAAATGTTAAACATTTAAAACAATGCCTATGGTATCTTCAGATATTTCACACTGGATGTATTGTTACTTTGTAGGATAGAAACAGAATATTCTTAAATACTTACTTATATTAATAAAGATTGTCTACACTGTAAACTTACAAAGAAATGTTGAATTTTCCATTTGTCGAATTTCGTCTGTCTGTTCTGTCTACTGTGTTGATCCATATTTTCTGTATTCCGAGCCCGATTGAAAATAGGATCAATGAGGCCTATAAATCTATTATCCAATACCATGATTAAGCTAAGTATCGCAAGGAATAATATCACAGGCACTTGATTCGGTAATAAGAGTATAACAAGCACATTCACAGAATTATGGTTCCCGGCTTTCTGTGTCTTGGTGGGTAAAATTTCATTATCTATTGCATATTTTGTCAAATATGAACACTCCATCATCTGTCATTCAAAAGTAATCATCAATAATGTAAGCTTTACTTGTCATTCTCTGATTGTAAAGCATTTGTTTTGGTAAGGATATACATCGGAATGCTATTTGGTAAATATACAGCCCCCCCCCCCTAAGAAAACAACAAAAACTGATTATACGACAGAAAGTCCCTTGTTTACATGTTACATTATTTTGTGTGTGAAATGTGTTTTCATATAATCTGAATTATTCACAAATGAAGGGCCACGTCCAAGGGTGTTGCTAAAAACTCGGAACGGAACGGAAAACGGAAAATAGCATCTTTTAAAAATCTTCTCAAAAACCACTGTGTCAGGAAAGGTGAAACTCATGTTTTTTAAAAGTGAAATAAATATTCTTGGGCATTTTTAAATGCCTGTTTATCAGATACTGAGGTCGAATTTTTTCTCAGTAACTTAATTGGCGTAGAGTAGTTACTCTTGCACTTCCTGTCAAGGAAATGTCATTCATGCTTTTGAAACACATGAGCCCAAAAAGTCGTTATGTAGTGTATTTTTGCATCTGTAGCTCTCCTTTTTCTTTATTTTGATAATTTCAAGCATGAGCAAAGAAAATGCGTGCTTTCAGTCATTTTGAGGAAATACAGTTATCAAATCCAGAAAAGAAAGAAGGATATTTTTCCGGGATTTTAGTACAATACTTATGATTAACAGGTACAAAACTTTGAAAACCCAAAATATTGTCAATAAGTTTATTAAAAATGCTTATTTTTGATTTTGTTAAGAGGGCTAAAATTCAACTTCCGGTAATGGAATGAAAATCATTCAACCGTTAAATAACTGATTTGGCAAATTTAAAAATGTCTTCACTTTGTTGGTACATAGTTATATCCCGTATATTATACTCACCCTAAAATTAGGGTGTTGCGTTTCTTTTGATTGTGAGTTTATTTAATTGCAAATAAAAGTGCACATTATCGTCCCTGAATTATAGGTGGCGCATGACACGTTTAAGTTCATGACTATTCGTACCTTCAATTTTAGAGAGAGTTCTTCAAAAGCATATTTCATGTAGACTTTTGCTAGATTAATTACAATTTATACTGTCTACGTTTTTATTTCAATGTCAGTCTGAGTCAGTTTTTGACGCATGTCATTGTCAATCTGTATTAGGCGAAGCCAAAGGCTCTTTACGTTTTAAACCTTTATTGTTGAATTTTATCAATGCAGATAAAAAGTTTAAAAAGTAAAGAGCCTTTGGCTTCGCTTACATAAATAATTCAATTAAGAGTGGACTTTTTAGTTATATACAATATTTGTAACATAATAGGCCTACACTGTATAACTGGTAAATGTTAGTAACATGATGCATTTAAGTTACATATGTTGTATAGAACGAAAAAGACCATTCTTAGAATTATGTAGGCTTAGCTTACAGGCGCTTGACGTTTAAAACTTTTTATAAATTTACTGTTACCTGACTGCACTGCCTATCACCTAGTATAGGCCCCAAAGTAAAAAAAAAATTAGGCCTGAGAGAGAGAGTGAGAGAAAGAATTATGGATGAGAAAACTCTGTTTAAACCATATAACTATTGCAGTCAGAGACATATAAAATATGTCTCTGATTGCAGTACATATAAAAATATGTAACAGTTTGGTTTTTTAATTGTAAGTTATATCTATACATACATTCACAAGTGTTCCCCTTCAACATATTTCAGACTTCAAGCATATGACAGGAATGCAAATTTTGGTGCTACAGAAAGAGTAGAGAGAGAATATTGTATGCAAGTTCCTTGT